GGGTTGTGACACAGTGGGGGGTGGATCTGGTTTGGAAGGAGGAGGTTTCCTGCTCCGACAGAGGAGACCTGACAAGGCTCTGGAGACACGGCCCTGACGAGGACCTGCTGGGTGATAGTGTGTCCTTTCAGTTGTCTCACATATGTGTGGTATAAACACAGATTGGAGACATTTGTCAGAACAACCTCAAGCTTGAGTTTAAAAAAAGTTAATTATTGTTACAGGAAAAGATCTAAGCAGAGGTCTCACCTGTACACCAGCGCCAGTATGTTCAGCATGGTGGCTACATCTGGGTGGGTGTGGCCTGAGGACTTCTCCAGGTCTTCCAAAGCCTGTTGACACATGTTCTTTAAGAGACATCTCTGACAGAATCATTTACTTTTTGGAAAAAAGCTGCGTTTTCCATTTATTTACATCATTTTTCGATAGTTGAACTTTATAAATAATTCAAAACAAAATGGGTGTCATGTTCCTGGAACCTGAGCAGCTTTTATTTCATAGCTGCCATCAAAAGATGAGACTAGACAGCACTCAGAGCACAAACCACCATCAAGGCAGCGCCGTTTGCCCATGATAGCGTGACCCTCATAATACGATTCCTTGACCATGATAACCTGCCCCTAGCATTTGGTATCATTAGTAGTTTGACAGTTATATAAGCAAAAGAACATTTCAGTAATGGCGTGTTTCTTCAGGGTCCAGCTCAGTAACTGTTGAAGATGCGTCAAATCTGTTGACACCTGCTGAGTCAGCAGAGCTTCACCTCGAATTTGATCTTAATTGCAGGTCTGCAGCGTTATCTTTCTCCTCACAGTAGTCAGCTTTCTGTGGTGGATCAGCAGATCCAGGTCAGACTTTGGTATGTGGTAGATCCCATTCAATTCAGTTTTATTTGTATAGCACCAAATCACAACAAATGTCATGTCAGGACACTTCACCAAGTAAAGTCTGTGACGTTTATCTATGGCAGCAAATCACTCCGACAGTCAGGTCGGTTAACGGTGGAACACTCTTTATTGGATACAACAGAAGACAGGAAGTGCCTTGCTTCTTTCTGTCTAGAAACCCCGGGGGTCTGCCTAACGCACATGCGCAGTAGAATAACTAAAATATATTCACTTCACGTGACAAAGTGTAGACCTTAACACGTGGCTACAGTGGGGACGAACGACTCCCTTTAACGGAAGAAACCTCCAACAGACCTTATGTGGATGTATGAAGTTAGAAGCAAACAATGAAATTGGCCCCATCTCACAGTAGTGAAGGGTCCTTGAAAAGAAAATTCCTGGATGATGATCTGGATCAGCCCCAAAGCCCAATGGACCGTTCTGTGGGCTGTACCCTACCTCTGTACCCTAAGATGTTTTTAATGGTCTCTGAACAACAACAGGTGGCACAAATGAATCAACTAATCCAAACTGGAGCCTGACAAACATTAACCATAAGCAGAAGCTAGTCATTGTTGGTTTTAGTCTCTGTATGGGAAGTGTTGAAAATGACCAGCTTTATCCTTTAACATCTCAAGTGGGGAAGGAGACACAACCGGTCCATTCAGTTACAAGATGTTCTAAGGGGGACCACACCTGACCTGTTTGCAGAGTGGTACAGCGACCTCGTATCGTCCCTGGGATGCGTACTGGATGACCAGGTTGTGCAACGTTCGGAGGCGTGCAGGAATCTCGTAGCCGCCTTGCTGGGCTGCAGCTGCTGCACTGCTGTGGTGAAGCTGACGCACTGAACAGCGATAAACAGACACAAAGAGGTTTGTTCAGGTAAGTGACTGATGAATGAGCAGTTACACCGGTAACACTGGTTACACTGGTAGTGCAAGTCTAATCAGGTTTATTACTGAGCCACATTTATTCTGTGGAGGTGGATTTGTCACAAACAGCTTCATCTTTTTTCTTAAGTATCCTCAAAGCTTCATTAGGGTTCGATTTCACTGCAGCTTTAAATTCTCTCGTTCTATTGATGTTTCCTCACATGATGTACACTCATCACTGCATGCTCTCGTTCTATTGATGTTTCCTCACATGTACACTCATCACTGCATGTGATGCTCAAAATGTCTTTGTTTTACGTGAAGAGCTGTTACTCCTAGGCAGCAGTGAGATGATCAGACACACACTGAGTTTATCTATGGGCAGTGACATTTTCATCAGCTGTAAACCTCTATTAAAGAACTATGAGAAACCAGGACCAGCAGCAGGACTGTGGCTGGAAAGCCTTCTGTGATGCTCACACTACAGACTGATGCCTCCTGACATTCGTACACCTCCACTGTACCAGAACAGCATCCAAAGGCAGAACCTAAGTTATCTTAGTGAAGTAGTTTAATATTCGACAGGTTGTTTATTTAGACAAAGATGAGAATTTATTTTCACTGTGAATCATTTAAACCCACGTGTTTCCAGTAGAGTCTGTAAAAACCACATTCACCCAGCAGAGCCTTACTCTGTGACTGCTCCACATCCTCACTAGGAAAGAGGTCATCCACAGACTCCTTGTTGGAGGTCGTGTCTTTGTCATCCTGAAGGAAGGAGAAACAACACACACACACACACACACACACACACACAGCATGGTTTATAAGATGACACCATTACTACAGACCAGTCTTCAGCTGCTGGTCTACACTAATCCTTCTCAGGGTTCAGTGAGATCATGTTCCCATTTCAGGTGAGTTTCCCTGAATCATACACAACAAACAGGGCCCTAGAAAGGTGCTGGCTGGTGACGACAGGTCGAACACCGAAGCGTGTGTCAAGTACTTAGGGAAAAAGAAAATGAACGTTTGCATCAAGGCCTGTATCGTTTAGAAAATGTGACGTCACTGATGACGTCTGAAGCTTCACCTGGGCTACCGGTTCAGGAAGTGCTTCAGAGTTGGCGGGATGTTTGAGCATGTGACTGAGATATAAGGGGAGAGGACGGAGCTCGTGGGTTTGTAATGTGGGAGATCACCACAGTGCAACTGTTTGCATAATGGTGTCACGGCGTCAGCACCAACATTCAGACGTTATTGCCAGTACGGGAACATTTTGATTTAACTTAAATTGTACGTGTGCTGTCATCATTTGTTGTAATGCTTATTTTCCTTCAGAACATTAATATCAAAACGATCTGTGTGACTGTAAATACAATTTATGGCTGTTTGGGTGAAATCTGGTTGGCGTTTCATTTGTTTCCCCCCTAGTGTAGCTTACCCGTCCTTCGCCTGTCCCTCAGATAGGCTGTTTATGTAGGTGGAGAAATAATATGTAAAAAAAGTTTGAGCTGAAAGACCCCACCATAGTTTTTAAATAAAATGGTTAGTAAAGTCACACACACACACGCTGAGCAAATATTGTTTATGAACCGTCTTCTTAAACGTGCATTAGAGACGGTTTACCAGAATAGGCTGTGCACGTTTCGTTGATATTAACAGTAACTATTTACTGTATTGGTGGCACATTAGGCTGCTCATATCTCTTACACAGCGACGTCACACAGCTCATTAATAAACATATTACAGATTAGTTTTATAAACGCTCGCCGTCATTTTACCTACTGAGTAACAAACGGCGAGTTGCACCGCTTCACTCTATTGCTACAAATCACCAGGTGATTTCATGGACACATGAACCATCTTTTGCTTCAAACGGCTGGAAAGCGTCGATGCTTCACTAGTGTTGGCTGAATAAAAAGCAGCCTCACAGGAGTCGGGTCTTTTTCCATAGTTGGTTTTCTGAACGCTCAGCTGGTGATGGCGAACTCCTCAGCAGCACATTTGTGTCTATGTACAGTTTGTGCTCACCAGCTGCAGCTCCTCCTGGTCATATTTGAGTAACGAGGACATGAACTGCAGGTGTCTGTTCTGCTCCTCCAGGGTGACCGCCTCCTGCTCCGTCTCCTGCAGCCGCTGCTGAGCGCCACCCAGCTCGTCCCTCAACTGCTGGTTCTCCTGGTGGAGATGACGCACCTGAGGAGGAGGAGGACAGCAAGAAAGGATGAGGATGAAAAATGAGTTGAGGAGTGAGAAAGAAGATGGAGAAGGAAAAGAAAGGAAGATGATTGCATGGGAGGAAAACAGAAGAGAAGAGAAATGGTAAAATGACAGAAGGAGAAGAGGAAAGAGGGGCAGATGATGAAGAAAGAGGTAGAATAAAAGATGAAGTAGGCGCGAAGAGGGGTCAGAACAGGGACGGGAAAAGTATGAGGAAGAGGAGTGGGCTGTGAGGAGGATGAGTCAAAAAAAAAAAACAACTCCCCAAAGAAAAGGCAGTAAAGGCTCTGACAGCTACACTGTGGGGTCGTCACCCTTTAAGTTAGGGGTCATAACAACATGGCATCAGAATCTCTCATCTGCTCTTTACTTCAACCATTTCCTGGAGAATCTCACCTGAACTCGCAGCTTCTGTTTCTCCGCCTCCAGCGAGCTGAGATGAGCCGACAAGGCCACCATCACCTGATGGGACGAGAGACGACTCAGAGGTGACAGAGGAAAAACTCCTCTGAAACACAGACACTACAACGTTGACAGTTAATTAAGAATCTTAAACGTTAGACACAGTTCACCATACAAGAAGAACACTTCAGTGCATTTGTAATCATCTAACACTACATTTTGTGTCAACTGTTTTCTGTGCGCTCATCCTCCTCAGACCAGCGAGCAACCCCTCGGGGTCAGGGGGGCTCTGTCATCATGGAGGAGAGCACGGAGTTACCCAGGTTCTTCCTTTAACCTGTCACCTGTCTGTACATACCGTGTACAGGTATGTAAATAAAAACTCTCCACAGTGCACATTTAACATCCACCTACCTAAACTGTATTTTTTCCTGCCTGACTGTCGACTCCAGTGGGTTCTCTAGGATTTCTATGCCCCTTTGTTGTGTCAGACAAAAGGAACAGGGAAACCAGCTAAATCAAAAGGTTTAAAGCTGAGAACACCACCACAGGTAGAGGCAGCACCTGATGGGCTGTGTCCCTTCTTCTGTTTGTACCTGTGCCTCGCTCAGCCCCAGCTCTATCCTCTCCAGTGACTGGCGAACGATGCCGCTCTTCTCCTGCTCCACGCCGCCGCTCTCTGACGCCGGCCGGCTCTCCATCGCCCCCTGCAGGCTCTCCAGAAGACCACGGTTCTCTCCTCTCAGTGCCTCCAACCCTGTGATCACCTGCTGCGTGCTGCACACAATCTCCTCGGCCGACAACATGGCTCCAACCCCGAGGTTCCTCCTCTCACAACAACTGACCTGGGAACAGCACAAAGCGGTATGAATGAAAGGTATAGCTTGTTAGCACAGTAGTACTTGGAGTGGTAAAGAGAGCAGCACTGTCAGTAGTTGTGTTATCAGAAGCATGTGTTGGTTTCCATGTCTTTGTACCATTGTTACTTGTCTGCTTTGTTCTCATTTGGTTTATTTTTCTAGCCTAGTCGTTCTGCTGTGTTTGGGATCATTTGTTTCCTTCTCTTGCCAGTGATCTTCATTTGTGGCTTTCTGTTGTCATTTTGTCGTTGTCCGACTCACTTCCAACAGAAACGCCACTGAAAACCGCAGCTCTATGGGCTCTGTATTCCCTATGTGTTAGTTCTGGAGCCAGCTGCTGCGCCACCTCACTGACAGATGTCTCCACCTGTCGTGACCACGTATGACGTAGTTTGACAGAAGGGCAGCAGAGGCGAAGAGGAGCCCTTATCTTTGGAGTGTTACCCTGGGCACTGGAACATTACAATGGACATTTTTCACTATTTTATTTTCTGACATTTCATGGACAAAACAGTTCATTGAAAACATAATCATCATATCAAGTGATGGCAGTAACAGCAGCTGTAGGAGAACTAGCAGTAGTACTTGAAATGCTTGTAGCAGTACACAACTTAATCTTCTAACAGAAAGATTAGTTTAATACTCTTTACATACAAACACAGCTTTATACTTTATTGGTAAGTTACTGTTCTATCACCTTTAACTAAGATGGTGAACAGGAGCCGAAAACTCTGTAAAGATGAAGGCAAACAGGAGAAGATGCTTTGGTGTGGATGGACCAGAGCGACAGAGCCGGAGTCGCCTGCTGGTCCTAAAGACCAAATCCACAGAGAAGCTACAAACTGTTGGCTAAACACAAACATAGGACAAGTTTCAGTTTCCTCTTTTCTGTCTGAAAGGAGAAGTGTGTTCTGCAACTGGCACTAAAAGCCAAAGTTATCTCATCTATGTGGTTTAGATCAGCTTGAATCTGAATGTTGGTGGTCAGCTGCTTCAGGTTTAGTACCTTCTTTCAGTTTCAGTACCTTCTTTCAGTTTCAGAGCTTTAAGAAATAATAACATAAGAAACTGGGCAAATTGTTTTTGCAGCAATATGTTGTATATCTCAGTTTTTTAGTTGTGGATTTCATAGAAAATATAACAAAGTAATGTAAATGTCACCTAAATGAACACAACACGTTGCCTGAGGCTTCATACTGGTCTCTGAGGCTTCATACTGGTCTCTGAAGCACAGTTGGTTTCTCCACATTCACAAGCTCCTCATGAAAATGTCCAAAGAGTCACAGGAGGTGGGACAAGACAACACAACACAACAACCAAACAACCGATGACAACAGTAGGTATTTAAAACCACACACTGTTTGTGGCCTTTCCGGTTTAGGCGGCGTCTCTTTTCCAACATCCTCAGTTTATGTAAATTTAAACCAAACACAAACGTCTCAAGTGAAATAACGACTGCGTCACATTACGATTAATTCACGTAACGATTGATGAATTAAAGTTAAGTCCATGTTGTGTGTCCGTTTCCCTGGAGCTGGTTATGAACAGGATGTAAACACAAGCCAGGTTTCCTTTTCGAGCCACATCAACAAACTGATTTATAGCCTACCTGCTAAGTCCACACTCCGGCGGCGGGGTTCGGTCTTCCTCGTCCACTCTGCGCTGACCTTCCTCTTCCTCCCCGGACACCTGCACCTGTCACACGAAGCGGAACATTCAGCCTCAAAGTGTCTTTCGGCGAATTTAATGTTGAACAGGTGGATCGATAAAAACTACCAGGTGTAACTTATTCACCTGCCGCCTCCTCGGCTCCTCCCGTCATCACCGAACAAACTTCCGGTCCCCGCCTTCAAAGTAAAAGGTTAATGTAAAACAAAAATCTTTAGAACTATTTACCTTTTTTGGCATTTCTCATATTACTGACCTGTAAAGAGACCGAACAAAAGCTTCATAAACAAAATTAACACCATATGAACATGGAAACTGGAACGTGTTTCTGTTCAAAGTAAACAAGTCACTTTACTCCGACTGTACTTAAGTATTTGTTTTACTTGGGTAACTATTTTCTGCTTCTTCATACTTTGACTTAAATTTCAGAAGCAAATATTATACTGTTCATTCCACTGTACTCATTTGAATGGTTACTTTTCCTTTTGGTACCATTTTGATGTAAATACTTTTACAAAGTAATTTGTGTTGTATTTGTCTTTTTAAAACAGAATTAAACAGTCGCCAGGCTTCAGATGTCTGTCTGCTGTCTGTACAGACTAATCTGCTTTGCACAAGAGTAAATCTGGTGAGGGTTTGCATTTCTGGACAATGTGAACACCCAAGTATTTTTGCAGTAATCTAATACAGAGCATGCATAAACGAAGTAGACCTATAAACATATATTTACATACATATATATATATATGCACACACACATACTGTATATATAAATCAGAGCCATGTAAAAGTAAAAAAAACACACAAAACCGCTTTTACTCTGAAGGCAAAGTCAAAACATCCTGCACTTGTCTTGTGTGACTTGATGGAGCTGAGGAGATTACCTGACATTTTCCCATCATACACTGCGGCTGTGCCACCTTTTTGTCAAGAAGATGAACCGCAAACGGGGGAAGAGAGATTATTAAATCTATCATTAGATTATTACCGACAGATTATTAAACGTTTATTTTATGTAGTGATGGGCAGATGAAGCTTCATGAAGCATTGAAGCCTTTCATCCAATTGGTTCACTCCAGCAAAGCTTCTTGAAGCTTCATTTGCTCTAGGAGGACATCTACTGGATGCAACAATATCAGTTGGCATGAAGTTGAAGTGTGTGGCATTTGGCAGAAAGCCTGTGAATAAAACTGTCAGCAAAATAAAGAAGTATGCAAAACATTTTGCATATTGTAGTGATGGCAGTATACTGTATATATACAGTGGTGTGAAAAAGTGTTTGCCCCCTTACTGATTAGGGGACACATCATTGGTTTTTATTTAAAAACAACAGTTTCTCCACTGTGGCAGGTCTTAGGCGATTTCTTTTTCTCCATCAAACACCCACATTTTGAATGGAGCCTGAGGGGTTTATATCGCTGTCAAAACTCGCGGCAAAATCCGAACCACTTCCTGAATCAGTCACGTGGTACAGCCGGGCAGCGAGGCTTCGGGCGTCATCATTTTCAGCTCCTCCCCTAAATGACGCAAGCCTCGATACGCGCGTCGCGGAAACGCCCCCTCCCCTACTCGGCACACGCTTCGAAGCCTCGATACGGAACGTCACATCACTAGTTTTATGTTGGTGTTGTTAAAAGTGCTTTAAATTGTCTAATGCTTTCACTTTTTCATGTGTTGTACTCAGTGACGTGCGGTCAGGGGAGGCAGGTGAGGCAGAGCCTCCCCTGTCAATCTTGAAAAGAAAAAAAAAGTTAACCATAAAATATAATAAATGTTAATATTTGTCGGCTGGTGTGTGTTGTAGGCCCTTTTGCCATTCGAATCCGATGTTGAAGGAATTTTTTACAATAAAGAATAGCAGAATTTCCGTATGTCCCATTCAAATACATGGAGGAGATGCGCGATGAGGCAACACTTTGCTGTGCTTGTCGGTGGATCGTGTAATCCTCACAAACTGTATGCGATGCCAATAGTGTGTCGCTGTCCCTCTATATATCGCAAATAAAATGCTTTCAAACACTCTGCCTTATATATATGCTCTGCCTTGCCATAATCTGGACAATGTATAAAATGTAGTTCTGTAACATGTTTAGGCTCGCAGATTAACCATAAAAGCCAGTTAAAGTTATTCGGTGAGGCAAACAGTACGCCTGTCTCAAGGCAGAGGGCGCTAGTGAGCCCACAGATTCTTGCGCTACCTACAATCTTCTTCGTGCTTTTTTATATTTCCTTTACAATCCGCCTTATCAAAATGGAAGATTACATTTCCAAGCTGAGAAAATTCGCAAGTCTGGACTTTCAATCAAAACATTTTTGACAGTCTGGACATTTTTGTCCAGAAGGATCTTCTTTATTGAAAACATTTGTTTTAATATTGGATTCGAACGGTAAAAGGGTTTGTAATACATACCAGCTGACAAATGGATTTCGTGTACAAGTGTTATGGTTAGTCCCCCTCCACGTCACTGGTTGTACTGTTGCCATGTCATATTAACTAGGTGGTCTTATTAATATCACATTAGCATAAGACGGTGGAAGAACAAGGTTTTAGGAAACAAATGAGTTACATTAAGACTTATAGTCTTTAAGACAATACAGCAGACTTTACTGGGAAAGGGTTAGCGTCTTAACATGAAGCGTCTACAAAGAGACAGAAAGACCACATGTGGACGAATGTGTGTGTTTGGGGGGTGTTAAACAACATACGACTCCTCTGTTGCTATTCCAGCTTCTCTACACTGGACTAGATTATATTAAGGGGTGTTTCTAATACTTTGACCCTCTTATATCAGTACCTGGGGAGGACAAAGACATAGAGATGCCTCTGAAGTCCAGTACACCAGCACCTTCACCTATGACCTCAATAATATAAATACATGTATACACTTATGACAATTTCACCAAAAATCATTTGAGCCTCATAAACACAGATGTTAACACTTTGTTGTTCACAAGAAAAAAAAGAATCCAACTTGATTAGACTCCCAGTCAGTGAGAAGCTGGTGGAGCTCTGCTGGTCTAGTTGACAGCTATGTGGCAGTAAAACAAACCATAAACACATGATGAAACAGCAGGAGCCCAGTGTTGAAGATGGTATTTAATAATAATGTATTTCTACTTAAGGGAAATCTGAATCCAACATTCAAGAGCTGATTAGTTTCACGATGCATGTTTTTCTTATAAAGAACTACACTGGCAGATCTTTGAAGGACTTTGGGGACTTGGTATACAGGTCACTAATGTTACACATGGCCACAGAAGTGAAACAGGTCATTAATGTTACACATGGCCAAAGAAGTGAAGTGACAGCCAGCAGCAGCAGCATCATTTTAAAAATGTTAATTACAGTAAATCCAACTTTACCAGAAAATGTCACATTTAACTTAGCACAGCACGTGTTCTACAGTACATTTAATGTTTATTCTCATAAAAGCAACTTTAACCTGCTGCATCTTTGAAGGGAGTTTGGTCCCTTTCTATTAGGAAAAGAACCAAGGAGATTAAAGTGCACTAACGTGCGCTGTCCCTGGTGCTGAAGAGAAGAATCCCAGACGACTTCTGACTCAGGAATCTGAATAACAGTCTGCACAAACATGCTTCAGCTGCACCTCTGTACTTTTCACTACATATTTATTTCACTTGCAATTTTTATGAGTTAAGCTTTCACACAAAAATGTGCCTAATACCTGATGCTTAATTAACAATATCTTGATAACCGTTTACATTTTTATGCCTCTGCACTGGTGACAGTAATAATTCCACATGGTTCAACCTGCACACTCGAGTACAATTCAATTCATTTGTTGCAAATCACAACAGAAGTCACTACACTACACAATAAGGTCTATGTCTTGGCCACTGGTGTTTGCCTTGATGGTTTTTATCATGATAGTAAAACTGAACAGGCCTGTTTGGTTGGATAAAACAGTCCTGAGAAGACCTCAGCAGTGGGACCGTGGTATGTAGAGGCCTCAACACACTATGAAAATAGATTTTGGAGCAAAGATGTAGGTTTATTCTAGATCAGATCAGCCTATATAAATATGACCTTAGCAGTTTGATGACGGTTTCTGCTGATTTCCCAGCTGTGTGCACTAGAGGGCGCTAGCACCTAATCACACAGTCATGTTTCTACTCTGGTTAAATATTTGAGCCTAAGCTTGTCATCTCTTATAGGGCAGCAACTAATTTGGTTCATTATCAATTAATATGCCAGTTATTTTCTTAGTTAACAGATCAACTGTGATCCAAAAATGGCTTTTTTGTGACGATCAACAGTCCAAACCTGATAGAGGTTTGTCTTTGACATATGAGAAGCTGAAACTAGAGAGAGATGTTCGTGGCATTTTGTCTTACAAATGACTTAGTTACTCAAAAAAGCAGCTTAATTCGTTTTCTGTCAATCGGTCCCCCCAGCTCCTCATATACAACCTCTCACTGGGTGAAGTACAGGGATGAGGCCAACAGGAGCTGTGACAGTAACTTTATTCAGTTTCAGAACTAGACCTGAAAGCAACACAATACAACACACAAAGTGAGAGCAAAATGAACACAAAGAGATGCAAAACAAACACCAAAAAAAGACAACAGATCCCTTCATCTCATGCCTTCTCTTTCTTCATCTTTCTCTCAAATGCAGACAAAGTTGTCCTCAAATCTCCATAGTAAATAAACTTGTGATTTGCAGTAAGTGGGTGTCTGAGGTGGTGCAGTAGGTGAAGAACAGCTGTAGGTGAGTCACGTTCCCGTCTCCTGTTCCCATCAACTCGCAGCTGAACAAATACAGCCTATTTAAATGAATGCAACAAACAGTAGGATCCCAGCCCTTTACCATCTAATAAAGAAATCTGCTAAACAAAGGAACGACTGGAGACTGATCTGTTCTTCTGGAGAGCACTGGGAACACTGGGAAGGATTTCAAATCAATTTGAGCACAAACAAATCTTGAATGTTTTCATTTCTTCAGTATATAAGGCTGCACAAGAATCCGTTTTCATACTATTAAGACATACTGTGTGCTTTATCAATACTCAGATCAATACTGGGGCACGTGCCACAGTAAAACGGGTCTAATGACACCAATGGTTATGACGTCTTGTTCTGTACCATACTGCTAGCAT